CCCTCCTGTGCCCTCAGGGCCTCACTTGGTGGCACAGACAACCCAGTGCAGGGTGTCCAGCCCCATGCAGGACCACACTCCCTGCCACTCCAGACAGGGCATTTAGAGCCACGTCCCTCCTCTGCCTGCGGGTCCAGGGGCTGGCAGTCCCCTGCAGCTGGACAGGGAGCAGGTGCCTTGTACTTGCTATGGGTCACTGTCCTCCTCAACAAGGCCTGTGGGTCTCCAGCTTTGGGCACAAGCTGCAGCCCCCCTCACACCTCCTGCCCCGAGCCCTGATGTAGGGGTGCTGCTTCCCAGCTCCCTGAGGGAGCAGGGCCAGGAGCCTGCTCTGCTTGCAGCAAAGGAGAGGAACCCAGGGAGATGCCCACAAAGCCCAGGGCAGAGTAATCTGGAGGATCCACATTTCCACCCAACACCCAGGCAGAGCCCCTCGCCTTCAGGCCTCTCTCTGGGCAGGAAAGGACACATATAATGATCCCATCCCTGTGGGTTCTCCAAGAGCAAATCAGGTTGTGCTTTCTCAACCCCCAGCTGTTCCACTTGTACTGTGCTTTCTTAGAAAAGGAATGCAGGATCCTCTCCAGGTCCACATCTGCTCTGAAGGACAGCACTGGACACTTACTCCAAGGTCTCTTCCTGGCCCACATAGAGCACAGCACTGTGGAGTGGCCTCTGAGCCCACCAGCCCCTGCTTGTCCACCACCCCTCCCTCTGGGGCTCCCCAGTCAGCCATGAACAGGAGCCACAGCCCTCAGCAGGGTCTGCAAAGCTGAGGGTCTCTCAGCCCTTCCTTCTGTTCTCCTGCCCTTCGGAGAGGATCAGCTCAGCCAGAGAAGATGGAGCAGCTATGGGCACAAGGATGGAGGATTCGCAGGGTCTGCACAGGAGGAGCTCCGGGCAGCCCAGCTCTGCTCCCTCTCCAAGGCTCCCACTCCCAGAGGGGGAAAGGATTGACGTGGTGACCCCAAGAAGATCTGGCAGTGGGGGCAAGCATCCAGCTGGGTTTCAGAGCTCAAGGACCTCTGCTGGGCTGGGGACAGCCAGGTCCCTCCAAGTGCCAAGTCAGGGCCCAGGGACAGAGCTGCCCTGGCTCTGAGAGGGACAGGCTGTGGGGACACAGCAGCCAGGGACGAGACAGGAATGAGATGTCCAATGTTCTGCTCTTCCACCTGGGCTGGTCTTTCCTGCCCACACCAGGCAGCTCTTGAGGCAAGTGCACAAACATTCTTGAGCCATATAGGAGCCACAGACTTGTTGGGTTGAGCCATGACTGGCCAAGGCCCTGGGCTGCCACAGCCCACTCCTGAGGGGTCTATTCCAATGGGACACCTCACATCCTGAGCCAGGTGGCAATTGCTCCACCACAGGAGCAGCTCTTCGTGTCTATTTTCAACAGCAACCACTCAAAATTGCTTCCCTGTTTGTGAGCTTGAGGAATCACACCTGGAAGGCAGTTTCACTCGTCAGTCTCTTAAGTTGATGCCAATTATTCACCCAGACACAAACTGCAGCAGTAACCAACCCCAGCCTGTGTCTTGCTTGCAGTCCAAGCCCTGCATTCCCCACAGGCAGGTTCTCCACCGAGCCCCCATGGTGCTCCAAATTTCACGAGGGTTGCCAAGATACAACAAGAAGTTTTGGATGAGGCTAACCAAAAGCTACAGCTGGTGCAGGACAACTAACCCACCATGGGCAGGTCAGGACTGGAGGCGGCTGTGCCAGCCCAGGTTCAGTGCAGTTGTCCAGAGGGCATGGGCTCAGCCCCAGTGGTTCTGCTGGCCGTGACCTGTGGCAGGACAGCTCCACTGCAGTGATGTGCATCAGGCCAACCACATGGGAGTCGCTCTCAGTCCGCCTGGTTGCTGAACCGCACAAAGGTGGCTTCAGCTGGGGTCTGGACACAGCAGAATCCTTGGGAAGGGCTGCCCTTGGTTTAAGTGGCCACTGGAGCACATTGGCACAGCCTGAGTCCCTCCCAGCGCATACGAGGCTCTCCTGATAGTTCATGTGGGAGCTACCTCACCCATCTTCAGAGGTCAGCAGCCACCTCAGCTCCATCCACTTGCCTCCACAGTCTCCAGGAGCAGCGCGATCAGCAGCTCAGCAGGATTCGGATCCCTCACGACCTGTGGTGTCTGCAGGTGAGGGGTGGCACCGGCAGTTCTGCTCTGCAGGTCACAGCTGAACGTGAGCCCTGTGACACAGCTCTGGCTGAGGGCCCCAGCACCGCTCCGTGCCTGAAGACACACCATGGCTGCTTGCTCTTCACCTTCTGTCCTGTGGCAGCAGCCCCCACAGAGCCCAGCTCAGGCCTCCAGGCAGAGCTGGGATCATCTCCTGGACATCTGAGGCAGGTGGGACTCTCCAGCTCCCAGTGCGCACACCCTGGCACAAGGCTGATTCCTCAGGAAGACCATCTCCAAGATCCTCACAGGCACCTTCAGCTGACACGCCACCTGCAAGCCTTCTCCTGCTGGGGGGACCTACTGCTCCTGTCCTAAGACATCACCCAGGTGAGCAGTCCCTGGAGCATTTTGGATTCACTCGGCCCGTGGCATCGGGCACCAAAAAACCACCGCGTTCCACCTACATCCTCCCAGGACCCTGCAGTGGGAGCCTTTTCCACAGGAACAACCTTCAACATGACCATAACTCCTCCATCCTGGGCTGACCCTGACTGCCGGGAGAGCCCAGCAGAGCCTTTATAGCTCCTGGCAGGGTGTGGCTGCCCCTGGTTAGCTGGGCCAGAGGGCAGGCAGCAGCTCCTGATTGGCTCAACACAGTCCCTCTCACGCTGTGATTGGTGGGCTGCTGCTGCAGGGGGGAGGCAGCAGCAGTGACAAATGGCAGCACGTGGTTGGCTGTGGTGTAGTGCCAGGTGGCAGCACATGATTGGTCAGACCAGCGTGTTGCTTGGTTGTGATTGGTGGAGGCAGCATGCAGGAGGAAGGGCCAGGTGGCAGCACGGGATTGGCTGGTTGGCTGAGCCTCCACGTGGGGATTGGCTGGGGCTGGGATCCCTGCGAGGATCCATGCAGAGCTGTGCCCCAGCCCCAGCCCGGGCAATGCCAGAGCACCCCCAGGGTCACGGGGTGGCAGCAGAGCCAGGAGCGGGCAGAGATGGGGTGCAGAAACACCAGGGCACGTGGGGATGAGGAAGGGGGGTTTGCCCTCTCCATCACCACTGGCCGCAGGGCTCACAGCAGCCGGGTGTAGCCCAGGGGCTGTAGGGCTGGGGGTCACTCTGAGCTGCCCCCACACCTCTGGCTGCTCTGTGCCCTACCCAACATCAGTATGCTCACCTGGTTGGCTGGGGGCAGCCTCCAGTTTTACCCCACACCAAAATGCACCCTAGGACCCAAGACTGCCAGGTTTTTGGGGGGCTGCAGGCAGACAAGTCATTCTCTGCAATGGGGACAGTAAGGCCACTGCTCCCCCTCTCCACCCCCAGGCCCTCACACCAGCTTTGTGCGTGCAGGGTCCCCACATTTCAGCGGCACCTGGAGCCAGCTCATGGCTATGCAGCTGCAGAAGCTTATTTCAATAATTTGCCTTGCAAATCTACAAGTACCAGCTTGAGTCTTGCACCGTGAGTGCCCATCCCATCATGGTGCAGGAGCCACGTATGGGGCAGCCGTGGTGAGGACACAAGGATGTGGATGTGACTCCCAGCACTGCGTATCAAAGCCCCACCCGGCAGCACGGTGACACTCAGGTGACACTGAGCAGCACCGTTTGCCACTCCCATGATGTCCCATCCCATGGGAGGACTGGATAACCAAAGCTAGTGCATCCTCCAGCCCTGCCACAAGCTCCCCTCACCCTGGCAGGGCTGGATGGGGCCTGTGCACAGAGACAGTAAATCTAAGCTGATAAGCTATCAGCCAGCACCACGGTTCAGTGGATAATTAAGGTGTAAGTGCAGAGTAAGTGACCTGGCTGCTCCTGGGGATCAGGAGAGGCTGTGACCCTCACAGCCAGTGCATTAAATGCACATTGGTTCCTCTTTTTAAAAAAAAAAAAAAGAAAAAAAAAAAAGAGTAAAATATGAATCACGTCCCAGCATCTGAACACTGACTGCTGGGATTGCAGCGTGAGAGGAGGAAACAGAGACCATCTGGTGAGGCTTTGGCACAGTCTGGATCAGCAGGGAAAGGGGACTCCCTGGAGCCAGGGCGAGGGCTTGGGAGCACAGATACAAAGCAGGTTCTTACAAAGGAACTCCACACACCTGGCAGAGTAGGCCGAGCTTTTCCAAGCTCCAGCACCCTGGAGGAGGGAGAAAAAATGAGTTGGAGGAAAGTCAGGAGCAAAGCAGCAGAGGCTAAGGCTAAGTTAAGGCCATTTTGGTTTGTTAGAGCACACAGACAAACCTGAGCCTGTCTCCCCCGAGTGCCACTACCAGACCTTGAACTTGGCACCAGTTCTGGCTGAATCCAATCCCTGCTGACACTTGACCGCTGCCCCACTGCCAGCAACACTCAAGCCCCAAGGGAGGGAAGGCATTTACATGGCCTGAGCTCTCCCCACCCCACAATGAGGGGTCAATCACCTGCAGCAGATACTGCAAGGATTTTGGAGATGGGTTTCTCATCCCCACTACACAAGCCAAACAATCCCCAACAAATTTGGCTGCAGACAGGAGAATTGCTGAGCAAACCATACCCGCACTCCCTGTCCATGTTTCCCAGTCTAACCCATCCCTACCTCTTGCCAAGGGCAGCCAGAGCATGCAGGATCATGCACAGGCCATGCTGGGGACACTGGTGCAGCTCTCCACAGGAATACAGCCATGGAAAGACTCCACCTCCCCTGCCACCACAGCAGCAGGGACAGCACAGCCCCCAGACCCTCCCCATCAACACTCTGCACCCCTCTCTCTCTCTTCCCAGCCCAAGTCCAAAGCAAAGAAAGAAAGGAGATAAAGAAGGGAAGAAAGAAATAAAAAACTAAAACAAATGAAAACTAAAACAAAAAGCAGCAGTTGGGAGGCAGCCTTGTTAGGACAACTCAGCAAAATAAAATTCCGGTTTATTGTTGGACAACATTGTTTCACACATACTTCAAACAGGCCAAAAAAAAAAAAAAAAAATAAAAAATAAAAATAAACAGCAACTTCATAGACAGAAAAAAAAAAAAAAGAAAACCTTTTTATCTTTGGCCTTGCCACCTCATACAAACCACGATCTATGGTACAGCTAAAGTACATACACAAAAAAAGTTACTGGAATGCTCAGAATAAGATTGTAATTTTTTTTTTTTTTTGCATTTTTGTCTTTTTTAATTTTTTTTTTTTACAAGGTTTTGTTTTATTCTCCTTTGAGATAATGGTTTGGGCCTGGTCACACCACAAGTAAAGTCAGAGATAGGTAACAAGAGAGATATACACTTCAAAGCCCCCCTTTTGGTCAATCCGAGATCACTTAAAAATGGCGGACCTCCTAACAATATGTACAAAAATATAAAATGTAAATAAAAAATACAAACAAATTCTCCTTTAAAGTACTTTTAAGAAAGAAAGCAGGGCCTTGAAGTTTTGGTGCTCGGGGGGGAGAGGGTTTGTGGGGGAAGGGGGGTTTTCTCTCCCCGCTAACGGGCGAATCGTTTCCATGTTCGTTGAGTGGCAGCGCCGCGCCGGGGGCGGGGACGGGGTTCACTCTACTTGGTGAGGATGACCACGGCGGAGGGGGGAGGAAGGGGTGTGTGAGGGAAAGGGGGCTGCAACAGGAGTCCCAAGGGGAGACCCAAGGGTGAAGAGGACGCGCTGGCCTTTTTTGTTGGTTTGTTTTCCTCCTTATTTAAAAAAAAAAAAAAAAAAAAGAAAAAAAAAAAGAAAAAAAAAATTTGCTGCCTAGTCATCTTCATCGGTTTTCTGCTTCTTGGGATCGACGTCGTCGTCCTAGGGGGAAAGCAGAGCCGTCAGAAGAGGGGATGGGGACTGGGGCTGCTGGGGGCAGGCAAGAATCACCCCGAGGCAGGGGAGTTTGGGGTCCCTCTCCTGCCTCAGGGACAAGGTCTGAGCACCACAGGTTTTTCCCTCCCTCAGGTAAAATCCTCTCTTCTCAGGGAGCCCCTGAGTGCCCCCCCCACCCAGGCCCACCATGAGCATTCCAGGTCTCCCCAGCCCAGGGCCAGGGCTCTGCTGGCAGGAGCAGACACCCCCCTAACCAGGCCAGTGTATAAACAGAACTGGGCTGTGTCCCTGGAGAGACATGGGGAGCACACAGGCAAAGCATTCCAGCCCCAGAGTTATGCCCAGCCTCTCCAGCCCCACTGACACCCTCCCCCCTCCCAAACCCTCTGGGGACACGTGTGGCTCTGAGGGGCTGCCTACTCTTTGTACCTCATCATCCTCAGCTGCCCGTTTGCCTGTGGCTCCCTCAGCTTCATCATCGTCATCACCATCCTCTTCCTCACCTGCATGGAGTACAAAGGGAGGAAACGTGAGACCCTCTGGAGAGTTCCAGTATCACACACCTTCCCTCTGGATTTAATCCTGGCACATCCCCACACTGTGATACCATGTCCCCATCTCCCCAGGCGGCACAGGCCCTTCTGAGGACAAGAGGTGAGAGAGGACACTGTGGCTTTCTGGGCATCCCCCAAATGACCTGACCCACCAAAGGGAAAGTAAGGATTGGCAGCCTCAAGTTTGATTCACACTACATTTTTAACATGGACAGCGAGATGGCAAAACCACCACCTACCACAAGTGCCAAAATCATGGCAAAAATGGGGGGAAAAAGAGAGGAAAAAACTCTTTCTAGTGGCTGCTCTGCCTAACCACTCCAGATTACTTCTGCTTCCCTTCGCAGCTATTAGTCCATCTTTAATGAGGTAAGAGAGCCAGAACGCATTAGTTCTGAGTCAGAACACTTTCTAATTATCAGAACAGCAAACAAATGCTTCCAACTTATCTTACAGCCAGCCAGGAGCATGAGCAGCGAGCTCTGGGCTTTGACCCACTTTGAGCTCAAATAGGCCAGTGGATCAGAACGACTGAGTCAATCACCTTTGGCCAGTTTTGGGGGCTCAGGGGCAAGCCCAGAGGCAAAACAGCTTCTCAGCTGCCGAGACAAGTCTCTTGTGTAACAGGAGACCCTACTAAAACTTAGAGAGTTAAGGCCAGTAAGCTGGCTTTAAACCACCGCCATGAGCCACACGTACGGACAGCCTGGACAGCCGGGGGGATTAAGGTCAGCCCATCCTCCCTTCCCCTCGCCCCTCCTGACGTGTGCCCAGCTGCGGTGTGGCCCATGCAGCGGGAAGGGCCAAGATTAGCTCCCAGCGCTGGATCAACACCCCGGCAGCCATCACATGCACTGGGCTGGCCGGCAGGTCAGGTGACAGTGCCAAGCTGATTGGGAGCATTTTTAGTTCTTTGAGCTGCTTTAAGCAAAGCAAATAATGAGATGGGATGGAGAGATGTGAGAGGAAAATATACCCTCAAGCTCTCCTCTGCTGTCAAACCCCGGGAGTTTGGCTGCAAGTCTCGGCTAAAAAAGCTGATGCAAGCTGGACTTGCTGCCTTTAAATCTCTCTCCTGCAGTGCTCAGGTGCAGCTCTCAGGCAGGGATCGCCCGAGGGCAGCAAGCAGGACAGTGCCCGTGCCAGCAGTCAGAGCCTGTGCCGGATCCCCACAAGGCATCGGCGTCTCCAGGCACCGCGTGCCAAATCGTGCCGGTGTTCGGCGAGCTGGGAAGAGCAGGGCTGGCACTGCGGGACCAAAGCTCCCCGGGTTTGTCACAGCAGTATCCAAGCAACACTTCCACCCCACACATGCGCCTGCAGCACGCGCATCCTCCCTGCTCCTGCCCGAGAGGAGCAGGGAGAGCCAAGTATGCCCCATCTCATCCACCCTAATGTAAGGCTGGGGGTAATGGGCTCAGGACAGCACACAGCAGTGCTGCATCTGTCCTCAGGGGTTAGAACCACAAGTTAAAGAGGATCACAATTCCCAGTTGTTCCTAGTGAACCAATTCCTACTGAAGGGCACAGCAGGCTGCTGAGAGAGTGCTACCCCAAAGGAGGTGGCTTTCCCAGCTCACACTTTCAGAATAAGAACTGGTTTAACGGTCATTAAATTTTCAGCCCTGTCCGTATCTCCCAAAACTAGCCAGCAGGTTAGTAGGTCAGCACGCAAACCAAAAATTCACAGGGGATTAACCTAGTAACAGATAATCAGGGGCCCCGAGTTCATCTCAGCATAACAAGAAAGGTTTTCTCCCAGCCTTAACAAGCGATAAAAATAAACAATGTTATTCATCCAAGCAGATCTTGGGAAAAAAATAATAGCAGGGAGGGTGAGAAGTGATTCGGCAAGTCACTGCTGCCAAAACCCACTTCCAGGCTGGGTCAGGTCAGGAAGCAGCAGAGGGCAGGGAGACAAGAGTACACTGCAGCCACAGAAGGTTCAAAGCAAGCCTATCTACTCCAGCTGGAGGATCAGGTAAGAGCCGCAGGTTCCTCTGCTCGTTTCCACACAGCATCCAGCCTGGGAAAGAGGGCTGCTGGTGCTTTCAGCCCGCTGCTTCAGGAACAAGCACGGAGACACACCCTCTGTGCCTGGGCCAAGGCACGGCCACCCAGGGCTGTCCCTGTCCCACTGGCCGGCGCTGGGTCTGCGGCAGCGGCCGCGCTCACAGGAGCCAAGGGCAGGTTTTACTACTCGCACGGAAGGGCTAATGCGCTTATTCAGCGCCGCGGGAAGGTGCCGTCTGGCCAGAGGGAGGGAGGGAGGAATCTGCCCTCAACCTGCTGGAAGGGATTCAAGGCTGACTTCACTCCCAGCAGCAGTGGCTCGGGCAAGCAAGGAAGGAGCGAGCCTGGCTGGCGGGAGCTCTCTGCCCACAGCCGCGAGGGGGAGATGCTGCTCTCCGCTCGCCTCCGCTTCCCAGAGCCTGCTGTCCCGAGCAGGACACCGCTGTGGGATGGGGGTGGGGGAACAAAAAGTTACCATCACCCTCTTCCTCCTCGTCCTCTTCTTCACCACCTTCCTCCTCCTCTTCGTCTACTTCGTTGTCAGCCTCCTGCTCTCCGTTTTCCTCGTTCTCCTTGGCAAGACAAAACATCACTTAAAAAAATGCACTGGGAAAGGGAGAAGGTGGAAGAGACATTCAGCACAAGCGCGTGTTCCCACCTTTCCTGCCGAAAGCAAAGCACCAGCCCACCGGGGCCCTGGGTGCACATCCCGCTTTCTGCCTGCCTCCACAACCCAGACAGCCCAGGCACAAATGATCAATCCTACAGTAACTTGGGGCTGCAGCTTTGAGACAAAGCCTGTCATGGCTCTCATGGCACATTGAAATGTGGCACAGTGATTTTCCCCCAGCACGTCAAAAGAGGAAACCAACCAGTTTACTTGTACTATGATGTATTTCCCAGCTGAACTGGTTGTAACATTGTAAATCCTAGTGGGTTTTCAATTTTTTTTCCTCTTTATCCTTGCCTAGGGAATAGTTGGTACTGGACAGCCTCACAGCTGTCAGGGAGGGAATCCAAGCCCAGCCCTTCTTTTCTGCACACACATGAACAGCCCACAGGCTGGGAGCGTCTGTGTAACGTGAAGCACCAAAGGCTGAAGGGCTTTGCAGGGCTCAGAGCTGCCATTTACAGGGATCCCCTCTCAACAGTGCTAGGGACAAACTCGCAGCAAAAGCAAGAAGAGGAGAAAAAAAAAAGGCATTGATGTACAGATTGCCTCTCCCAGCAGATTGCAGCCATACTCACAGCATTGCCGTTGGCTGGTGCATCTCTGCCATTTTCTGTTTCTTCAACAACTTCCTTCTTCTCTTTTAGATCCTGGAAGGAGCAGAAAAGCAGAGAAGTCACCCCGATTCCAGGTGTCTGGGTCAGAGAAGCTGCAGATCAGGTGTGAAAAACACAGTCTGAGAGCGAGAGCAGGCGCTGGTTTCTCTTCATACAGATTTGTTCTGTGATTTGGTCGCCACGTTCTGGCTCCTCCTTGGGAACGGGAAAACATGGGGGCGAATCTCAATCCAAGTCAGCCTTGCCAGAGCAGCCCTCTAAAAAAGAGACTGCTCTGTTTCACCTCTGAGCTCCCAAACACACAGAGCTGGCCGCCTGCATATACGCTCAACAGCAGCGGAGCTGGCCGATTGCCCATCTTAGCACAGTCCACGCAAGCTCCCGCAATGCCACGGAGAGCCGGCAGCCCTGTCCAAAGGATGGGCTCCGCCGTCCCGGGGCTGCTCAGAACCTTCCCAGCAGGAACAAATCCCAGGGACTCGTTAGCAGAGGCTGCGGTCTCTGCCCTGCCTAGTGAAAATCATACGGCAAATGTTACACGCCTGGTCTTTCTCACAGCAGCAGAGAGGAGGCTCCAGCATCCAGCTCACAGCCTGAAGTGTAACAGGATGGGGTGGGGGAAGAAGTCTATTTTTACACTGCTCCAAGAGCCATGCCTGGCTAGTTCGGTTCAAGCCTCCACCGCGAGCAGAGCGGGAGCTTGTGTGTTTTTGCTATTGATCACTGTCAAAATGTCATGCCAAGTCGCTCAGCAAACAGGCTGAAAGGATCCAACTTTATGTTCCCGCATTAAGAACACTTGGATTTAACACTGGCATCTCTGCTTGCATCCTCCTCCCCTTCTGTTCCTCCATCAACTGGAGCGAGATCCTTCAGCACGGTGAGTGCTACCCCAGCCAAGCAAAGCAGGGAGGCCCTTCCCCAGGGCCAGCAGCACAGCCACAGCCGGCTTCAGCAGCAACCATGAGGTGTTTAAAAGTTGCTGGAAGCTGCTGCTCCACTGCGGTGGCTTCTCCCCCTCCTGCCGGCCCTTTGCAGCTGCCGGTGCCGCCCACGGACAGCGGGCACTTTCACTCCCGGGAGCCGCTGCCTCCTGGGAACACGGCAGGGAAGAGCATGGCCCTGCTAGCGTGATCACTGCTCCCTTCTGGGAGGGTTTCTACCGCCCTGCAGACTGCGCAGGGGAGGCAGCACAGGTCACTCAAATAGACAGAGGCACCCACAGACTGCCAGTGCACTGAGGAAAGACTTTCCCTGCAAGAAAGCCTTGAAGGGGGACAACACCTGTTGATCGAACCTCACCTAAGCAAACCAACCCAGGAGTCTGGAGTAAAACAAACACACAAGCTCCCTCTTCCTTTCGCTGCTCACACACAAATCCCAGCCCACCTCCTCCACACTGCCCAGTTCCACCAGTTTTACGCTGTTAGTGGCTTCCACTGCCCTGTTCCCTGGAGACTGATCACAACCATTTGGCCTCTTATGCATCACTGGGCTACAGCTGCTCCAACACATCAAGCACATGGGCACGAGGGCAAAAAAGCAGTTCCCAAGTTAAACACAGAGCAAGTCAAGCAGTCAGAATTTCCACTTCTCAATGTGCCCAACAGTTCTTTTTAAAACGAGTAGTTCACAAGTTGCAAGCAATTCTCCCAGTGAAGGAACAACTCGTTCTTAGGCATTTTAGCTGGACAGATCTCCAGCCCTGACCTTTCCTGCATCACTGAAAATGCTCTCAGTTTAACCACTATCACGATGCCAGGTCATGAAGTTTGTGGTAGCAACAGGGTTGCGGAGAGCATCAGATTCCCCCTTTTCCTTTCCCACTCCAACACAAACAGATATGCGCAGGACTGTCCAGACCAAGGGCCGGTGCAGGCAGCAGGGCTGCTCTGGCGTCAAGACTGGGACACAGCCTCTAATTATAGGTGTGTCAGGGCTGTTTGTCTATGGAATGAATAGCAGCGGTGCAGAGGCGCATACCACCGGCCCGGAAAGCTCTACCTTCTCCGCGGCCCTGCCCTCGGCAGGATCCCTGTGGGAAGCGGGGGAAATCAGGACCGGGGACGACAGAGGCAGCGCCGCAGCCCGCGCCTCCCGCCGGCAGGGGGCTCACCCGCGCCGCCACGCGCGCGGCCGCCATTCAAACCGCGCGCCACTCTCCACGTCCCGCTGATTGGCCGGCAGCCAGCACGGCGCCCCGCGGGCTGCCGGGAGCTGTAGTCCCGGCGGGGGCGGCGCGGCGGACTCCGGCTCCCAGGGCCGCACGTGGTGGGCGCCCCGCGGCACCGGCCGGGGGCGGCGCCCGGGCGGGGCGGGAACCCCCTCCCCCCCATCCCCGCCTCCCGAGAGCGTTCCGGACGGCGAGGCGGGACGAGAGCGAGCGGCCCCGGTGCCTCCGCGCTTCTCTGAGGTGTGGGGGGGTCACCTTGCCGCCGTGCGCGCCTCCGCCCGCCCTGCAGCGCGGACCCTTGTCCGCTCTCAGGAGCGTGAGCCAGAGACGAGACCCCTTCCCGCACGCGGCAAAAAGGGCAGGGGAAGGTTAACGGCAAACTTGGCCCCGTTCCCCCGGGGAAGGATGGGGATCGACCCGCCTCGCCGCTTCCCGGCAGTGGGAGAGCCGGAGGCGGCGGGGACCAAGCCACGGCCCCGGAACAGAGGCAGGGCAGGCGGGATGGGGGCATGGCTGCGGGAGCGGGAAACAGAAGTGAAATCGAAATCTGCCAGAAACGGCGTTTTGTTGGTTGTTTTTTATAAACCCTCCTCCCGGTCGGATTTTTTTCCCCCCCTTCCAGCCGCACTTCCCCCGGGAGCGGCGCGACCCTGGGCCAGCCGGGGCGCAGTGTGAGGAGGCCGCCGGGCACGTCCCCCGCAGCCTTCCCACGCACTGGTCCGGGCCGGGTCCCCTCGCAACTTTTCCGGCCGTGGCCCCGGGCTGCACGGCGGCCGCTCGGGGATCGCAGTCCCCCCGGGGGACGCTCCGCCGCGGCTCGCAGACAAAGGCGTGCGCCGGGAGCCGCAGCGGGGACTCCCGGGAGAGCCTCTCCCGGCTGGTACCGGCGCTCCCCAACCACTTCCCATCACCTCCAGCAGCGACTCGCAAAGTTATCCTCGCTGCGAGCAGCTTGGGCCAGGGCCGGCGCCCTCAGCCCTGCCGCCCCAGCGCTCCGGGGCATCTCCTGCTATGGGGTTGCCTCCATCGGGGTAACTCCAAAAATAACAAAAGCTCCCCCCCGGGACAGCTGCGGATCACCCCCTACTCCCCCTCACCACCGAAATAGTAACTCCCAATACGGGGCAGTACCTAAATCGCAAATGGCCCCCCCCCCGTCCTTCCGGGGGGAAACGCCGAAGAAACAACTGTCCCCCCCCACACTCCAGGGGTAACACCGCCACAGCAGACGCCCCTCCCGCATCAACGGGGCGCAACTCCGAAATAGCAACCACCCGCCCACCCCGCTTTTCGGCAGCAACTCCACAACAGACACTGCCCCCCCCACCCGTGCGTGTTCCGGAGCGCTTCCCCCCACATCCCCCCGCAGGGACGGGGCCGAGCGGAACACAAGTTTGACGGGGCTGTCAAGCTCCCGCACCGCGGATTGAATGAGCGAGCGCTGCCGGGTGCCGAGGCACTGCCGTGCGTGAACCCCCCCCGGGTCCCCGAGCCCCTCCGCAGCGGGATGACCGGCTACTGTCCCAAGGAAAGGCGGGAGGCAGCGGGACGCGGAGCGGCGGCGCTCGGCAGCACCGGCAAAGGCGGCGAGCACGTTTCCCGCACACTGTAGACAAAGGAACAGCGCTGGCAGCCCCGCACGGCGAGCGCGGCGGCACCGGCTCCGCACCGCGCCGCCAACTTCAACGCGAAGGACGGAGGGGGAAGGGGGAGAAACGAGGGGGCGGGACGGGCAGGGGGGGGAAAAAAAAATTCCGATGAAAAAACAGAAAAGGGGAAAAAAAAGCCCGATATCGCTCAGAAAAAAATATTAAAATAGGGAGGGGGAAAAAAAGCCGTGGAGCAGGGCGCGAGGCGGCGGGTCGCTCACCTTGGCGGAGATTTCAGCGCTGGTGTCCACGGCCGCGTCGGACATGGCGGGGGCGTGCGGGGCTGTGTCGCGCGGGGCTGCGGCGGCGCGGGCGGGCGGGCAGAACAATGCCAAGATGGCTTTGCGCGAGCCAGTGGGAACTCACGCGGCGCCGCCGGCCCTCTTATAGAGCCGGGGGGCGG